CCGGCCCAGGGCTTAACCGACAACAGCAACACGTTAGTCTTAAACTTAATCATTGGTTTTCTTTGCTCCTGTATTCCTATTCTTAACGATTGTACAGATATAGATCAGTGCAGTAGTAATCAGTATTGCTGACGATGAGAGTTGAATTTCCCGAAACATGTTTAAACATGTTTAAATAAAGCGGTATGAAATTCTCAGGGTTGAATAGCGTCGTCTCGTCTAGTAAAGTTACAGCAAGATTGCTGTTACTGACACCAAAAAAAAAAAAATCTTAACTGTATTATATTTACAAATCCTATTAGTATGTAAATTAGTTTAGAAATGTTTCTTTCTTTTTTGTTTTGTTTTGTAAACTTTAAGCCTAACTGATGTAATTATTGTCAAGTGAGTATATTGTTATGATTAGTTGAGATGTCTAATTATTTTTTACCATACGTTTTTAGCTTCTATACACTGAGGAAGGCCAGATGAAAAAACATTTGGAATAGATCTATTTATAAAAGACATGAGTTTGATTGAATCATAGCTTCCTATGCCTTGAATCTTTCTACAATTCTGCTAATAGCGTTCTGTGAATCATGTTGGATGATTGTGGTTTTGCATGCTCTGCTGGTTGGAACTAGGCTTGATATATATTGTCTTTCATTGATGCATCTTTTTAGTGATCGTGTCTCGATTTTATTAATTGTTTTGTGCTGTTTTAGTTGTCATCTGCCTGTGGTGCTGAAGCATTTTATTCAAAGGCCAACAATTTAGCAAGGAGTGAGGGTCTTGAATTAGCCAGGGATTTGGACACTAAAACCCAACAGGTATTAGCGATTTATTTACATTTAAATATTGATCATGTCTAAAGAGTGTACCATGTTATTGCTTTAAGTTTTCCAAGTCAGGGGCGCGTGACTATAAGATACAGTGAAATTGTTTCCTGTAGGAGGAAAACTGTAGACCCTGGAAAAAACTTTCCAAGCACCGACAGGAGCTTAGCAGACATCCAACAAGCAATTTCACCCACATGTGGCGATGATAGTGGGTTTGTCTGGATGAAAACTACTATAATCTGTATAATGGCAACAGGTGCATTATATTAGCATAAAKATGTTCACTTTCTAATGCTGTAAAATGGATGAATTATATTCAGTGCATGCCATCTAATTATTCCTTATGTAATGAAATTATGTTTGAAAACTTCAATACAAAGTTATATATATTTTGTTTMATTTTCTTTTTTCACCAGGCTTGGGTTGGACATCCCTACTTTGATGTCATTGATAATACAATAGAATTTGACGCCAAAGTTCTTAAAGCAATAAGAGTAAGTATAATGTCTTTTTAAAGTGCTTGTAACTGAAATAACATCGGAATGTAATAGTTATTTGTTTTGTTTTAGGCTGTGTGTACAAAGATCGGCATTGAAGTTGGAGATCGTTTTGCTCCAAACAGTATAAAAAGGAAATTTCTCGTTAAATGTTTGCCAGATGAAAAGGTATTGCAACTGGAAAAGAGCCTTGTGCCTAGATAATGTTCCTTGCAATTTGTCTTGCAATTTTATTGCAGCACTGCTGCAATGTGAAATTCCTCTTGTGCTTGCAACACAATCTTTTTAATTTGAATTTTTTGTGAATGTTTTAGATTTTGTTCAAGCCAAAAAAAAAACAAAACAAACAAAAAGTTAAAATATTTTAATTGTCCACAACGTTTTTGTCTGTTGTACATTGTACTACTCTATTGAGCCGGCAATCAATGTAGCAAAAGATTTAAACATTTCATGACGAGTATATCATTGAGTAAAATATCTTGAGACATGTTTCGAGGGACATTGCAAGGTGCAACAGCTCACTTAACCCGATGTAGGGGAATCCAGAAATAGAAAGGAGATGTTTTTGTCTTAGGTGTGGCATTATTGCTTCAGCTATCAATCTCACTATACTGTTTGTATTTGTCTTGTAGCTTTTCCCACCATTCCAAGACTTTGATGTCGTCCATGACTACCTTACTGTAACTGATTTAGAAATTGGAACACAAGCCAGACTGAGGCGAAGAGGACAAAATGGTAAGTAGAACAAACGGTATCCGGCCCTTTTGCTACCATGCAC